GCGTATGGTCATGGCTATTGGCTATTCAACCCTAAAAATGTTGCACTTCTTAAGTTCCACACGGTATCTATGTTAATGGTTAGATCTCAGTGTATGAAATTGATTATTTTACCAGACATGTTCAAATCAAATTTTCGGACGGCCTATAATGTTGACAACCTACATGTAGCTGGAGCACGTTGGCATTTCTCTCTAGTTAGCCATCGCTACTAATAGCTGGATCACAACAGTTGACCTCCCACTAGAGACCCAGATATAAGTAGTCATGGCGTGCTAGTAGGAAATGCTAGTGTGCTACAGGGCTCTTTTTGCCCTCAATTCAATACCCCAGACGCCTCTTCTTTGAGCTCAAATCAGGCCATGTTGATTTGATGAAATCAGCACGCGCATGAAGTTTCGTCCGCCCCCCCCCCCTTCCAAAAAAAATTTGACCATACAGTAGCAGTCACACAGGGCACCAGCAAAATGAGCAAATATATGCCGTAAATTGAAAAAAAAAATATTGGAAAACGACACTAATGTCGTAGAATGATAAAATAGATTCCAAAGGAAGAAAAGAAAATGCGAAGAAATGAAAACGAAGAGTCTATTATTCGCCATACCACACCTTCATGACCATGAAAGGCACGCTCGCATCAGTTTTGGGGGTTCCCAGAGGATGTCACCCATATAATCAAATCAACATGGCCTCAGGTACACGGCAATCACATCACAATTCATCGGTGTTTCTCATTTCTCAAAGTACGTTTGATCTACCTTAGTGTCCGCCCTTGCCTGGTCACCATTGGGGAGTGTTAAGCTCAAAGGACTAATTACATGTAGACCGTTCCCTTGGAGTGTAAGGATGCCCCGCATTCTGTGATTGGCCGTGGGGAAAACAACTGCCTGCATGGCCGGCCGACACGAGTGGGGCGTACTGAGTAGATTTTGCAAGGTTAGAATCTGGCCGCATAAAGGACATTTTTCCATTGCATTACGGATACATGTATATAATGATATGCATATATAAATATGCAGAAAATATCAAATCATTATGATTATGAAACAAGATTGAGCTATAATTATTTGCCAACACAAAAATTTGGACTCACCATTTTTTGTGTTGGCAATTATAGCTCAATCTTGTTTCATAATGACTTCTACCAACACAGATGAACTTCCAAGATAAAATGGAAAAACATATTGTTTTTGCTCAGTTTCCTCTTCCTCTTCTTCTTCTCCAAACACTAACCTCTGAAATGGCCAATGACCTGATTTGTTGACGTCTGTCACCATGGTAACTGGTGTTGAGTTACATAATGTTGCAATCTTATAGTAGGAGGGATTTAGACTCCTGTCTGAATATATGAATGTATTTGAGTAAGAATTAACAGAGCAGACCATGTGCCTACCTAAACATTATGCATTTGCTTTGCAAATGTTACCTTTCAAGTTTAAAGATGTGTTACGAAGAAAATACATTTTAACCAACACACGTCCGTCTGGTTTTAAGCAGGTTTGAAATTACTCTCCAAGCAGAGGTTGTGGGGAATGATCGTTACCTTTTTATATATGGCCGGTTTTTTTTTGTCCTGATCCCCACCACCCGTCGGTGGCTAATGGAGCTTCCCTGGCCAATGGATACTGCCTGGCCAATTTGATACTGTCTTTTTGCCACCGAGAGGCCTAGGGATCTGCTTGGAGATTAGTTTGAAATATGTTACCCCGAAATTTATAAAATGTAGAGCCGTCCGCATGTAAATGATCCACAGTTACCCTCCTAATACGGCCAAAACCTCCCTCCTGTTTGCATTATTAACCTTGTATTTACGTGCTGCCAAGGGTAATAAGCTCGATCAACCTCAATAGATGGCTGCGTACGTCATAGTAAGGATCTACACGTGGAGAGGCCTGATTATCATATCCAGTATGTTCCTTGTGTAAGAGTGTATGCTGCTGGGACAGCGGCCAGGCTCTACTGCTGGCAGAGCTAACAGGTAAAGAGTCTATTTCTACACGAGCTCCTGCAGTGCATACATGCATGTTCTTTTGTTGTCTCGTTGTGGTTTGAATATGAAAGAAATTTAGCTACCAGGAGAAGATTTGGGGTCTTCAGTTCTTCGTGTCGTGCGATAGTCTCTGAATAGGTTTTTCCGCAGGGGATTGCAGCCTCCAGGGTGCAGAGCTGAGCTACTGTTAGTGACGGTAAGATTTGGCATTACATGTACATCCGTAGAATTAGCTTGTGCATGCTATTTGCAGCACCGTACCGCTAGCTTGTTCTTCCAGTTTGCAAAGATGTAATAGAGAATGCTTTTGTTTTATATATATAACGCTATATAATATATTAACCACAACAATGACAGTCGTTTACTTACCCAGCTCTTATACAGTGGACCTATTGTATGTGTGAAGCAACAGCAATGATAAACAAAGTCATTTGCTCAATTGGTTCCTTTCCGCAAACCAAATTGATGAAACCACGACGAAACAGTTTTCTTTCAATAACAGATTGCCTTCTGTAGTATACATGATCTACCAAGAAGTCTTGGTTTTGTTTTTGACAAAAAAAGAGTATTTTACAGTGCCCAATTTCCTTCTCTGTATAGCAAATAATCTGTAGCGTACAGAAAACCCAGAAAAACACGTGTTGACGAGGAAAGACCAGTCGACACAAGCAAATTGGACTAATTGGCACCTGCTACCATGTGTTATGGTTGCCCTTGTTGCTATGGCAGCGTTTTTAGACATCAAACGGTCGCCAGATGAAATGAAAGCTGGCGTCCAGGTTGCTGGGTGCGTGTGTGGGCGAGGGTCAGGCCGCCCTTTGATGTACGCCGCTGAACCGTTAGAGTGAATCATCTGTTTTAAACGTTTCGCCGCCCAATCCATATCATATAAACTGCAGGTAACGACAGGCGAGGGGTGCAGGCTGCTCCATAAAACGTGGGGAGGGGGGAGTTGGTTGAAATTTTCCCTGGCCCCATTATCCATTCGTTTATGCTCGTTTTACTTCAAGCGAGATATGTTGTACACCTTCTACTTTGTTGAAAGACAATAAAAGTATGTAATATTCAATAGAATTTCTTACTAATTCTTTTACTCAATTTTTCACTTGTAACGTTGCATCAAATTTGTCTCTTAAACATGAATCTCCTACATTTGATTTCCGGGAATTCAGAGATCCTCCTAACCGACCTTCATGATCATCAGTGATAATAAATGTACTATCCCGAAAGCGTATGTACTTCGAAGTGAACCCTTAGACACAAGACATATTCCAGGCAACACGGAAAGATTAATCGGTACGTGACTGGCATCTCCCGCGGCAGATAGTCGGACCGTTCCGCACAGCCATTCATTCAGTCGGAACCACAGTCCATGAATGAGTGAAGGCGGACCTGCCTGACTGAATGCCAAGTACAAACACAGAACCTGGCGTCTGTTCTCAGTCTAGACATACAGTTGTGTGACTTTATGAGTGGCGTTCAGACGTCGAGACTGGAATAAATGCATTGTAACATTGCTATCAGAAATGGTATCCCTCTCTGTTTCTCTTCATTCTTTGGCTCTCTCTCTCTCTCCCCTCCTCCCCCCCCCTGTGTGTGTGTGTGTGTGTGTGTTCGTGCACATGGATGGCATTCAGCACCAAGGACAGATACGTTTATTGTCTTTTTATGTTTATTTGAGTGTCTCTCCCTCTCTCTCTCTCCCTTTCTCTCTTTCTCTCTCTCTCTCTCTCTCTCTCACTGTGTGTATGTGTGTGTGCGTGCGTGTGTGTGTGTGTGTGTGTGTGTGTGTGTGTGTGTGTGTGTGTGTGTGTGTATGTGTATGCGTGTGTGTGTGTGTGTGAGTGTGTGTGTGTGTGTGTGTGTGTCTATTACGGCTCATGGCTTATGTACCAGTGTGGGTTTGGTTATAAGAGCCTAAGGCTGGCTGATGTACATGTGTGGGTTTGTGTGTATGTGTGTTTATAACCTGTTGCCACGGAGACAGATCTACAGCATGCCCATATAAGGACATAACGTGAAACCCATCCTTCCTCCCTGGGTCCAGGGCGGTCAGTGTTCTTCCGGTTTACCTTAACCGTGACGTCATCTACATAGTATTTCCTTCTTTGCCGTTTCCGCCGACGCCAGGGCCGGAAGTGACGTAGTCGTATCTTCAAGCGCTTGAAACCGTTTGGGCGGAATCAGCGGGGATAGCCGCACGGCGTGGGGCTCATTTATACCGCGCAAAACGTCTGCGTAAGGAACATTCCATTTCAAAAGGGGTATAAGATTGCGCGCATTTTCTTATTATTCATTCACGCTATCTTCGACGGTGCATTTCGCCTAGTACCTGCATTACTACATTTTTTAAAATTGTTGGCTTTTTTCTATTATCTACATATGTAGTTTAAGGAGAATTGGACAAGAGGCGATTCTTTAAAGTGCGTATCTATAGTAATTGTCTGCCTAAGGCGATTTTCCTACACTGCCGCTTCGCGTGCTTGCGTGCGGCAAAAACGTCAATGGCGAGTCTCCTCCATGGTGCTTTTATCTTCCAATCTCTTAGAGCTTACAGGCGATCCATCGCGTTTTTACCGTCCGCAACAATGCGCCCATGCGGACGTCAATCTGTAGACTGCCGTAAGAGCAAATGCCATTCAGAGGTCTCTTTGTAGTATACGTATTAATGTAATATTTCAGACGGCTTTCTTCCTTTTATTTCCTAGGTGTACCCTGGAGCGTACAGGTGAATGGAAAACGCATTAATTCCCGGAAGGACGACCAAATAAGGCAGAAGAGTACAACGGCGGCAATCATCATTTCAAAGAGACGTTTGAATTGTAGCGTCGGTGACGGTTGTATGACGCGCCGGTGCTGCTAAACAGGTGACTGGGAGAACGTTTTACCGTCAGTCTGCATCTCGGCACTCCAAAGCATGCAGCAAGAAGACAGCGGAGTTTAGCAAACTGGAGTACCCGTTTGGCTGCAAATTCTCCATCGGTAACAGGGTTAGGTAGCTGGGAGAAGGTTAACGTTTTTAAAACCAACCATGGTTGAGCGGTTGAAGATTGCAGTCATGGGAGCTCCCGGTGTGGGAAAGACCTCGATCGTGCAACGCTTCGTACGGAACTCGTACACGGACGAGTACTCGGCGTCGGTCAAGAGGAAGGTGTACCACACGGCTGTAGTGGTCAACGACCAACTGTACGAACTGACCATCTTGGACATCCCGGGTGTTTTACCTCACCTTCGAGCCAACAGCCTGTAAGTATTGTTTGTGTGTGTGTGTGTGTGTGTGTGTGTGTGTGTGTGTGTGTGTGTGTGTGTGTGTAAATGGATGGCATTCAGGACCAAGGACAGATACGTTTATTGTGTCGTATCTGAGGTAGTCTCCACCAGACTCCTCTGCAGGTTGAATTAATAGTAGAAATCGGCCTGAAAAGAATGTAGCTGACCAGGGGAGTTTGGCCGGCCTGTATTCAGGCAAACTGGACCCTGTATGGCCAACCAACCCCCCTGGCCAGCTACATTCTTTTTAGGCCGATTTCTACTATTAATTCAGCCTGTAAAGCGGTCTGGTGGAGACTAAATCCGAGGGCTGAATTCAAGCCATCGGTTTGCTGAATCTCAAGAGTGGCTGCCATAACTCAGATGACCTCAAGTATATTCAGTAGAATATTTGCACATGGTATACATCAGTCAGTATCATTTTAGAACTCCGTTTACTTAACCTTGCGGCCGGACAAAAATATCTTCGTGCGGCGCCGTGAGTTCAGATTCAGGTACGTGGGCTGCAACGAAACAAGTTCATTGAAAAATCAATTGACAGTACAGTAGTTCCCGTAATTGCAATAAATCAGTGTGTATAAATAGATGCACCTGGTACATTTTCTGTAGCGTTGATAGGTGCCGTCTAATTTAATAGAGACAAACAAGCAATTCAATTTGGTGGCAATGATTGCAACAATAATCATACGTGTTACTATTTCGGGTGGAAGAAAATTCATCTAATGGGTTACAGCCAAATAAATTGCTTAATACATATGTACTACGAATTTCGTTTCTGTATATAGTTCAGTAATACTGTTGCGTTGATTGCCTAGTTGGAATTCAACTGGTAAGGTTGAATTTAACGATTTAGTACCGATTCTGTTTCAAATTAGGCTCTGTAATCATCTGAAGACCCACTAGGAATATCTTAGGGATATCTGGATAGACTGGTAATATTTCAATGGATCAAGATATCTTGCCTGCAGTAAATGTGTTAATTCTTCCATGCTTAAACATGGCACTGAAATACAGTTCCTGCTAACATTCAACTATGATAAGTATTATTCACTGCACGACGTTTGTTAAAAATATACATACTTTGATATTAGGGAGCATCATACTTTCAATTCTTGATCCCTGCTGCCAGAAAACTAGACAGTCAAAAGAGATATTCCATTTAAAGAAATCTGCTTGGAGATTACCGTCTGTACGTCTGTCAAAAGTATCTGATTGGCTAGCCGCCAGATCGTCGGTTAGTCTGATTTTTTTCGCGAACGTCTGTTTTCGTCTGTCGAACGGCTAAAATCAGATTTTACCGGAGAAACGTTGCACGCAGGATCAGGGCTCTTCCATGGTAAGTTGCAAAGGACGGACGTCTAGGTGGAGCCCATGGCCACCTTCTTTCATTTAAATATCTTGACTAAATGAGACGTTGGGCTGCAAGATAGTAACGTCTGTCAGGAAGGACATGTAGGCTTTTAGAACTTCCATTGGTGGCAACGATGTTGTTCTAGACCTAAAAATAGCACCGTGAAAATAGAATGATGTCTGGCACGCGGATTGACTTGAATGGCTGATTGGTTGATTGATTGGTTGGTTGATTGATTGATTGATTGATTGATTGATTGATTGATTGACTGATTTATTTGCTTATTGAACTATTGATTGATTGATTGATTGATTGATTAGGTGGTTAGCTTCTAGTTCAACATGGGTCCCTTTTCATCATGTGCACCTGTTGGCGATCTTTCGAAGGAGTGCAGAGCAACTCAATATACTTGAAGTTCAGCATATCTGAGAAGAGGTAAAGGAAAATATCATGACCATATCATTTCTTCAAAATGTCTTGCAGACACGACTGGCAGGACTTCCACGACTTCCAGGTCCTGGGTTCGCGGAACGAGCGCGCGTTTATCCTGGTTTACGACATCAGCTGCAGGGACAGTTTCGAGTACATCAAGCTGCTCCGGGAACAGATCATAGAGACCCGGCGGACGGCTCTGTCACAGGAGGTGCCGGTCGTCATCGTGGGGAACAAGGTAAGTATCTCTCAATCAGCCGGTGAAGGTTACACATCCAGGACCTGAGGTAATAAGATACGTGTAGGGGTGGGTAGACAAAGGTCACCATTTCGAGCAGGCGCAGAAGGCCCATTTTGAGAGAGCATCCAAATCTACTGTTAACAGCCTTTTTCTTGGCAAATCTTGCTACATGCTGGTATTTTGTAGCTAGAGCGCGTTTTCTTTGTATTTATTTCGTTGGAAAATACTGGCCTTTAGGCTTATCTTCGATGCTGGGTAGAACTCTAGAAGTGATGCTGTGTTGTTGTGTTTGGTGGTGTTTAGGGGGATCAAAAGTCAGTGCGCCCACCCTACGCTATGGTGAGTTTTTGCCAAGTTTATAAAAAAAATAATTTTGGGCTAAATGGACAACTCAGAGGTCAAGCTACCCTGTCAATGTGAGTTTTCAATAAGTGAACTCTCAAGTAGGTGATTTTTACAGCTCCTTTCCTAGATTTTTACCATGTATTTCAATGGGAGCTCCAAATGCTGGACTATGCCCTACTCTCGTCTTTTTCTCTCGCAGCGAGATCTGGCGGATCGCCGCGTGGTCCCGCGCCGTGACGTGGCCAGCCTGGTGCGGAAGACGTGGAAGTGCGGCTACATCGAGTGTTCTGCCAAGTACAACTGGCATGTCACCTTCCTCTTCAAGGAACTCATGAAAAACGTCGTCTACGGAGGCAACAAGAACATCGCCACGTCCGTGCGCCTCAACGGCAACATGATGCGGAATAGATGCAGGGTGATGTAGCTGTAGTTCATGGTCAATCGCTAGGTGGCAGTAGAGAGCTGCTGCTGTAACCCCAAGGACACCGTGCGTGGCCTCCACTATGTACTCCAGTCCAGGGCTTGTCACAAGCCGCCATCTCTTGTCGTTATGGTAACGTTGATAAGTGTTCTTTGTATTCATGAATTTCTGAGTAGGTTATTGACTATCTAATTCGATATGGATGGCGATATGTATTTGTCTATCGTGTTTTTCATCGTCTTTAATTTTCTTCGTCACCAAAAATGCGCTTAACTACTAGTATACCCTCTAAACGGTGTAAATGATACATAGAAAGCAGTAAAACGCTATTAAGATAGATGATACTGCTGTGTACCCTCTGGGCGTAGAAGCATGTATATTTCTTAAACAATGTCCGCAAGAAAAATGCTGTTGTACTTGTTTTATTAATTTGTTACTCAAGGGCTAAATGTAAAGATAATATATACCACAGAGTCCCAATGATAAGCAATAGGCTGGTGTTTTGTTGAAGGTCCCATGGCCCCATTGGCATTGTGTTCTTTACAGAAATATCACCCGGAACCTACCACTTGTAACCATCCCACTACAATAGAGACGTCACCATAGCGGCAGAAATATGGCGGGCCCCTCTAACACGTATTGATGTGAGCTAGAGGGGTTACGGGGAGGGGCATTCATATTGTTCAAATGTGGGCGGAGCCAGTGTAGCTGACTGTTTCGCGTCACTTTCAGTTTGAGAATTCTTATGTTTATGAATATATTTCCAGAAATGTTATACAGTTATATAAAGCGCATATGGTAAATGTAGCCACCAAATTCTGCTTCATATCCTTTAAATCATCCTGTAAATTTTATGAATGGTAAGATTTCAGGTTTAGAAAACGTGTATGTTAACAAATATATATATTTCCAGAGATGTAACAGTCGTAAAGCGCATATGATAAATGTAGCCACCAAATTGCCTGAAAGTTCGAATATTTAACACACAGTGATCTGGATACGGAGAGAAAGAGGTAAAGAAGCATAGTCTAACTATGTGACCAGAAATGTTGCGCGTCTGTACGCCCGATATATGAGGTATTTGATACTGTATGTAATATATCTATGCGGAAATGTACTCTCGATCGTGATTACGCTATTTTTGTGGGTCAAAGAATAAAGATTTATACAATATCTTTAAAGCTTTGTCAATACATTTTTTTGCATATCACTGGTAGTACATTCAAACCACAGCTGTGTGAATTCATGATCAATATGATTAAAAAATTAAAACTTACATATATCTATATATATTTTCTTATTATTTTCAGTTGATTATCTCCTGTACTCCCTAACGGCTAATTTAAGTTTGATGTTTCTGCTCTTTCTTGTACATGTATTCCTCTCTCTTTTCTATCTATCTTTCCATCCCAATTTTCCTTCCTCTAGCCCTAATCCCCACCCCCATAGTGCCTAATCCTCTCCTAGTGCCTAATCCCCTCCTCCTAATCCGTTCAGACCGCGGCGTCTGTATCAGTAATCTGTATCTCACCACCAACTCTCACCTCTGCCTCCGCCCACTATCCCCGGTGTCGGGCCAAATCCTTGAGCTACCACATACGTGAGAGACCAGGTGTTTAGTGTTAGGGTTAGGGTTGGTATTAGGGTTACGGTTAGAGTTTGGATCACTGTTCAGGGCTAGGGTTAGGGTTAGGGTTACGGTTGTGGTTAGGTTTTTAGTCTCCCACATTACGACTGAAAGCCAGGTGTTTAGGGTTAGGGTTAGGGTTAGGGTAGAGATGGGATCATTATTATATTGTTAAGGGCTAGAAGGATTAGACTTACAATTTGGGTGAGGTTAGGTTTAGTCTCCTTCATCATATCACGACTAAGCCCCATCCTACCCTTTGTCTCGGGTATATTAGAAACCCCCAACTAGTGTCGGAGTCGTGTATTTGGCAGGATAACGTATGTGGATTGACACCGGTTCCTCCATCCGTGTCAGGGACACAGCTGGATGACAACCTCTGCCTCCTTAATTTTCGAGCAGATCCTTGGGTGGCAAAAGAAAGTATCAAATTGGCCAAGCAGTATCCATTCGCCAGAGAGTGTCCATACGCCAACAAAGGATCTGCGTGTGGTCTCAGGCGAATGGATACTGCTTGCATTGGCCAATTTGATACTGTCTTTTGGCACCCTAGGATCTGCTTGGAGATTATGCCTCCTCCCTCCGCCCCCTAACCCTGGTTTCTCCATCCGTGTCAGGGACACAAATTGATGACAACCGGAGACGTGACCCCTCCCCAGCCGGCCACAGAGTGACCAGCCCCCGCCTGATAACACAAACATACCGGGTCAATCCTCTTGATTAACGCGGGGGCATCGATTGCAGTCAACCCCGCAACCTAATTTTCCCGGAGAGTTAGATTAAATTTTCGGACAGGCTGGGGTTTTTAATCACACTTTCGTTGGCGGAGCCAGCTGCGAAAACGACCAGACGCGTGGCGTCCGGGACTCGGCTACAGGCGGGACGTCTTACAACAGTCGTCTTTCATGGGAATCAGGAAGGAAATGGAGAAGAGACAAAAGCTATAAGAAGGTAGGTTGAACTACTTTCAAATATCTCACGTATCTGTAGTCACCCAACAAAGTCTAGACATTAGAGCGCGCTAGCCAACAGTATGTGTCACCAAAAAAAGGCGTGGTGCGTATAATGAAATGTAATAATGCTTACTTTTAAGCATATAATCTCGTAAAATGATTAGGCTTTCATTTAAAATCGACTCCATAAAGTCATAAAAGTTTTTTTTAAAACATGTTAAGCACGACTAAAGAAGAATGGGTTATGTAGATGCTGTTAATGTCAAAACCAATCATGGTATGTGTTAACATGTGTTACAACACAATGGTTGCTTTCCTCTGTAAGTTATCCTTATCATTCTTATGAATACATATCGAAAATATTGAAAAAAATGTACCAGCACTTTACTTCATTACGCCATACTTCGTTTACCTACCTATCAAAGAACATTTATGAAATATTCCCGTACCACAGACGAGCGGATGATGTTTTCAGCACCAAGGACAGGGCGTTCTTACCAGTAGATAGAAAAGGTATTTCACATAGAGGTGCGAACTTGTACAACAGACTACTTCGGAAAAACATCACTGTTAGGCCCTTTAACACTTGTCAGTCTAGAAGTTGTTGAAAAATATACATCGAGTGGGTTAAACTTAATCCTGGTGGTACGAACAATTCGCTAATTTTGGGAGGAAATGGCGGCTAAAACGGTTGGGGAGGTTTCATCTACAAGGTTGAGGCAGTTAGTGGCATATTGTACATGTAAGAAAAATGCAATGTTAATCTAGCAGAGTGTAATACATGTTTATATCAGAGAGGATGGATTTAG